CAGATAACCACGTATATGTATGGAGAAAGGACGCCGAAGCGAACAGTCCCCATTTGATTTGTCTGCCATCGAAAAGGAGGGTAACACTTATGATCTGGGGATGCATGTGTTTTGATGGTATGGGAACTATTGTATCTGTCGAAGGTAATATAAATGCTCTCAACTTGGAAATAGTTGACAATAATTCATGGCCTCTAATTGCCAGACATTTTCCGAACAAAGACTATGTTTTCCAAGACAATAATGCCCCCGTACATAGGGCTCTTGTAGTGAAAAACTACATGACCGAAAATAATATTTACTGCACAGATTGGCCAGCTCAGTCTCCAGATTTAAATGTGATTGAAAAAATTGGTTGAAGATCAAAACAGAGCTTAAAGGCATGTCTGCAACTATTGAAAGTCATGTTCAGCTGTTTAAAGCAATTAGACAAGTGGGGGAAAATATCCCCTTGGAATACGTCCACAGCCTCTACGCATCCATTCCAGACCGGATTAAAGAAGTAATCCGTATGAAAGGAAATCTGACCAAATATTAGGTAAGTAACTTCAATTTTAAGTATACAAATCTTCCCGTTTAAAACACCTGTTGTGAACATAAACTAAGACGCCATTTTGAAAATGACAAATACTTTTGTCCATTGACTGTAGACTACCGGTAAGCTGAGAGAATCACTCTGGCACAGTGAAAGGTTCCAGACTTCCAGGATTAAGGCCAGGAAGGTGGCTTAATGTGGATCTAGTTAACTGAGTGCTGTCTAGTATGCAGAAGTTTTTGGATAACATAGAACATCAGGTCTGTTGTAATGAATGAACACAAAAGGCCAAACCCATTTTTTGTAAGACCAAGAAATACTTATGTAAAAAAGAAAAACATGTGAAAATGCGGAACCAAGGACAACTTAATTATTAAACATGTACTAGTACATGTAATATTATAATTGATATTTTATTCTTCTCTAGCAAAGTATTCAAATGTAGACGGTCCATCGTACTTGGATTTGTGTAATATTTTCCAAACCTTTTAATGACTCTGCGTCAAAAAAGTAAAGCTCAAAACCAGACACTGCCTTCAAGACTGAGAGTCATGCAGACATTCCATAAAAAATGTTGCATCGAACCAGAGGCACTGCACACTGGTCAAGTCCGATGTCTTTTGCATAGATTGAGAGTGATGGTGGATGGATTGTTAGCTTGTTATATAAATTGGCAAACTTAAATTTAAAACTGATATGATTTCATTCATGCATCGACCTTAAAGTTGATGACAGCCTGTCCTATTACACAGACAGATTATTCTATAATCAACTATACTGCTATAGCAACAGTACAGGGCTCTCACACCACTTTTTGGGACTGGGGCCGGGGCCGTTCAAATTGGGAAAATTATCGTCATTTTGGGAAAAGTTGGACAACACAAATTCATTGCATTTTATTATCAATGCTAACTCTGGTTTGAATAAACAGTTAAAAAGAACAAACATGGGTACGTAGGCTATTTATGAAAGCACATATTTAGCTTTGTCATTACTATCTTTGAGTGTTGATATTGCGGTTATATGTCTTACTGCGTGACAGTCGCTAGTCACATAGTCCCGAATTTCCTCGATCACATGGGCAACTCTGCTTACCTACAGCAGACTGAAAATGAAGCGCGGGTATGTTTCTAGGTGCAGCTTACTAATATTTAAATGAAATGTCTATTTTTGAAACCAAAATGCTGGTTTTTGTCTAAATTAACAAGATACTCTGCACTATAGTTGTACATTTTTGTAAAAACAATAACCTGGTTCCCCGAACCAGTTTACGAATGCATTTGGCGCGAACAAATAAAATAGTAGTACAGTTTCACTTTCATTTGCAAATGTGTTTTGTTTGCGGTTTTTTTTTGCGATTAGGTTTGATGGACTTTTATTTTTTAATTAATATTTTACTCTGGATGGAAATTGGGAAATTTACACCTTTCTTTTGGGAAAAAAGGTACCTTTTTTGCATTGGGAACGGGGCCGTTGAACGGCCCCAATTTTAGAGAATCGAGAGCCCTGCAGTATTACCTCTCATAAGAATTCTCGGATAAACACCAAATTACATATCTCCTAATGACCCTCTTTTTACCAAAGAATGAACTGTCTTGATTATTCTGAAAGATAAGAATTACCTCTGCTTTGCTGGAGGCGTCCGAGAGTTGCTCCGGGGAGATTTCCACTCTGTCCGGTTGTTTGTCAGATCTCCTTAACATGATAACAGAGTATATGTGTAGGGCACGATTTTCATCAACCTAAAAGAATGCATTAGGCCTACAGAAAAAAGCTTTAATAACATGAAACATGCATGTCTTTCTTCATGTTTTAACATGATACCTGTTTGCCTTCTTAAATTAAACAACGAGAAGCTTGATATGTCAAATGGCATACTTAAAGAAATTTATATGTAAAGTATTTTGCTTAAACAGTATGAGTTTAGGCGCTTTTCTTCTTAATTAATGTATATATTTTCCACGCTTGACCGGCTTCCAGCTGATCAGCTGAGAGAGAAACTGGGTCACTGCGCCATTTAGTAATATTACCTCCCCTATGAGTAATCCCATTACTTCTTCTCTTTCTGTCGATAATGCATGTGTTAAACACACCATATAGGCATCGGCCTCCAAGTGCACACACTCTACAACCATTCTGATCTATAAAACAATCTGCGCCCAGACAGCCCTCGCACCGACAGACCGGAAATCTCGGTGACAGAAAATCTCACCTCCACACAGAAGAGTTCACAAAGTTCTCGTTCAACGAGATGTTCGGTTGTTTCCGTAAATCTCCGACGACTAGCCTGTCAGAACGTTCACAAAATTACGTAGAATTAATCAGAGACATATAAAATGGTTTTATATGTCTCTGGATTAATCCACTACCCTCTCAATTAAATATATCGAAAATATATTTACGTTTGTAATCGAAGCTGAACTTAAAAAATTAGCGCACATTAATTTATTCTTTGTTCACGATGCTATCATCAATCTTGTCTTCTTCCTGAGTATTAATTGTGTATTTCTGAGAATTCTATTTTTGCTTAAATATTTCTGTACGTAACATCAATTATCTGATTATCAGATGTACAGTATCGATCATGATTAATTACATGAATTAATTATAGAAGTACAGTTGAGTGCCAAAAGTGAAGATAATTTCATTTTGCTCTAGCACCCCCCCCCCCCTATATATTCCATTGAAAACAACTTTTTTTTCAAATCATAGGCAAATAGTCCTTTTTTGTCCAGTTTAAAAAGATAGTTCACGTCAGTTCTAAAATTCAAGTTCAATGTTGACTATATATTGAATTCTTTGTAAGTACACTCGGAGTTCCTCGGATGACTCGTACCTCGCACATAACCTCGGACGTCAACGGTGATCTACCATCTTGCTGATTCAGTCATGTGATCTTATTTGAATTTCTTTCAAATGTCAACATTTGAAATAGTTTTATTTTGTGGCACACTTAAAAATTGTAATCAAAACCTGTTTACGATAAAGAATTGCAGTTTCGAAAACGTTATGCAGAGCGAAATATGAAATGAGTGATAAGGCAGTTTCAATCTGTTGACATCATATTTTGAATAAAGTATGTGACTTAAAAATTCATGTCGCAGTTAAATTACAATATTTTTAAAATATCAATGCTGATCAGATAAAAAATGTTTTTATCAGCTACAACAATTTCTTGGATTATCAAGAAATTTGTGATAAAATCTGTCAAGAAATGTTGTTATACCAGTGATGTTACAATATGTAGTTTTCAGTGAAATATATAGAAAAAAAAAATTACCTTCACTTTTGGCACACATCTGTATGAACTTGCATATATACTATGTATGTGAGATTCAATATATGCTTGTAAATTGTTTACATATAGATATGTAGTGACATAGTCCGAAATATCTGACGTTTTACAGACTTAAACAAACCCCCCCCCGCAAAGAAAACGCTGATTCCTCCTCGAAAACACTGATCTAAGCGAAATTTTTATGAAAAGTCACTGGTATGAAATTTTAAATGTCACACCCCCCCCCTCCCCCGCGCCAACGAATTAGGTTTCAAGTTTTTCATTTTTGGGAAATGAATATTTCCGTTTTTTTGTTTGTTTGTTTGTTTTTTTTTTTTTTTTTTAATATTTTTTTAAATTCATTTATTTTTTTTTATTTATTTATTTTTTTTTTACTTCTCAAGAAATATTTCTGGGTTGGATTTTTTATAGACTTGAGTGGAACCCCCCTCCCCCCAAAAAAAATTCTGGATCCGCGCCTGTTAACTACATCAAATTTATTAAATATAAGATTTCAAAATGAAAATAAATATAGTATTTTACAATTAAGATGAAATTAAATAATATTAAACATCCGATTGAGATGATAATAATTATAATTTTCACTTTTGTACAACAGTTTTGTATTGACAGTTTCAATTAGTTTTTGAAATTTAAAAACACGGTAATGTGTTTATTAAAAGCGAGAATACATTATAAATTGAAATAATTTTAGCTGCTCTGAAAGGTGGTGTTAAAGTTGAGCATGTTTTTTTTTTTTTTTTTTTTAAATATATATATATATATCTACTATCTAGTGTTGCAAAAATCTGTCTTGATGTGTTGGCAAGAGAGCTATATCAGGTACATCTTGTACGATTTACAAAGTGTAAGTTTGGAGGATTTGCAGAACCGACAAGCCAAAAAAGAGTAAATTTTCAGAACTCAACATCCCTATTTCTTGGGAAAAGGGGGGAGTAGCTTTCGTTTTAATGTTCAAATCCTGGAATTTTCTGTGCTTGTCCTTACAGCACCAATTAATCAAACAAAATAGTTTCTTTCTTTCTTCCTTTTTTCGTTTATCATGTTTTACTATGAGGGGGAAAACAAGTATCTAAAATTAAAAACAAAGTTGAAACAAATATTAAGCCTACAATTGAAAAATTATATCTGCAGAGTTATGCGCCCTTTAGTAGAACTTTTCTGTTTTGAAGGTACATAAGCACCATCGCCCACCCAAAATGGCGAGAAGGTGAAAGAGGCCTATCCCTTACTTGTGAAGTTAATTTCTTTGTTTTAACATATCTGTGATTTCAAGAAAAAAAGTTCAGAGGGAAAATATATTCGATCTTAAAGACCAGTTTTCACAATATGAAGAAGTTATTGCGATGAGTCATTCAAAAAATACTTTTTGATTGTCGAACTTGTTTTTCGACACCGATTTCTCAGAGTACACTAAATCAAAATCAACATGCGGGAGTACAAAGTTGTAGTTCTGGGAAGTGGTGGTGTTGGTAAGAGTGCCCTTACAGTGAAGTTTGTATCCGGGACTTTCATGGAAAAATATGACCCAACGATCGAAGACTTTTACAGAAAGGAGATAGAGGTCGATTCTGCTCCGTCTGTGTTAGAAATCTTAGACACTGCTGGTACCGAGCAGTTTGCCTCCATGAGAGATCTGTACATTAAAAATGGACAAGGTTTCGTCATTGTTTATAGTATAACAAGTCTTCAAACGTTCCAAGACATAAAAACTATGAAAGAACAAATCATTCGTGTCAAAGGAATTGAAAATATACCCATGATATTAGTTGGAAACAAAGCAGATCTGGATCATCAACGTGAAGTACCACGTTCAGAGGGGGAGGCTCTGGGACAAATGTGGGGATGTCCATTTCTGGAAACCTCCGCTAAAATTACTCAAAATGTGAATGAGATCTTTATAGAAATTGTCCGAGAAATGAACACTAGTCCAGTGAAGGAAAAGGCAAAATGCTGTCGTTGTGTGGTTTTGTGAAAAAGGTAATTGGGGATTCTGCCATTCATAGTTTCCACTGAATGAAATTAGATTAAATCTGGAATATGTCATTTATGTGATTAATGATAATACCATGTCTAGCTTCCTGTCTTGCATGTGCTATGCAGAGCATTTCATACTTGTATATTTTTTTTCTTTTCTAGATGATCTAAACACCCACTATGTACTTGTCTTTTTGTACTTGTCCTTTTTTTCAAAGATTTCAGGAAGAGAACAGATACTAAGAGCTCTCCAACAATTATAGGGATTCATAACTTAAGCTGTGTGTTAAGTCTACAATGTTTGTCATTTTAGTTTCACATGCAGTAAACATCTTTATGTGTTCACAATTTAACTATAATTAAACATGTTAAAAAGTCCTTTTTGCCATTTTACTGTTGCTAAGTTAATTTATAAATATTATGAAATACGTAGACCTATAAATATCTGAAAGTCAAGGAAGAAAGTTTAGATGTTGATTTTTATCTATTGTTTTACCACATTTGATGAATGCTTATGGTCAATTGTCATTTCACAAATACATGACAGAGTTGATCACAGACAACTTGCAATTTTAAAAATGTTGATTTAAAACAATATTTATTCAGAATACTGGAGGTGGAGTTTGGGTCATTTTAATTGTTTAATCACTTAAATTGTATGAGTGCTTCACACGATACGTCTTCACTACTGTCATTTATTGTAATGACAAGTGAAAAATGAGGACAGTACACAAGAAATTAAATCAGGACATATTGTACAGTGTACTTGAGAGGAGTCAAAAGGATACAGTTGCATTATTCATCACCGATTTGACTAATACACACGATAAAAGGTCAACATCAATACACAGTAACACACTGATGTACATGACTGAAAGATTTTGTATTAATGTATACATATATAGTATGATTTATGATTTGAAATTTGTGAATGAATCCTCTTTGAGCATGTGACAGTGTATACATGTTGGGCTTCATATTAAAAATTCTCATTTTAAAATAGCTGATATTTTAATCATGTAAATGATAATTCAGCATTTAATTACAATTTGCCAGGACATTAATAAAAAAAAATTCTTTAATACATATTTAGTTGTGCAAATGCTTCATCCACATTAATATGAGCTATATGATTTCATTGAATTAACGGTATCCAAACTAAGACAGAATTATTTTTTTTTGCACAAACACTTTGTACTGTTTACAGAATGTTTCCAAATTTCTAGGCATAATGTTGAGAAACTGACAGGAATTCTTAAGTGTTTCATTATTAATTTAATAAAAATGTCTACATGTACTGTTGAATATTATGTGCATGTCTGTACTAAGTAGGTTTTGAATAGTAGCATCTATCTGAACCATTAAGACACTGAACGCAAAGTCATATTTGGAAAAAAAAAACCAAAACGTAGATTTTATTTCATAGAAACTTGCTTAATGAACACATGTATATCTGCATGATGTAAATTGACTGAAATGTTAAGTATTTTTGCATACAGTATATCTAAGTGTTTGCTGATGTTTGAAGTGCACATTTTTCATTACATTTTAATTCTTGTATTATGCATGTAATTATAATCAGTAAACAGATAAAGCTATAGCTATTGATGAGTGACAAAAGGCGTATTAGTTTGTATTCAGTGACAGAGAGGACTGCTGGGAAGGGAATGATTCTCGATCCGATTTACATGAATATAATCAGAGGGGATTAAATTCTGTGGAATGTCAGATTAGGAAGTGACAACTACTTCTAATCCATGGGTTTATAAACATACCCTGTTTACCAAGATTATCATAGGCTAAACTAGGAATCTCTGTGTATATTGTAAGCATATGTGTACATAGTGTAATTATAAAACCTACTAGAGTAAAATTTCCCACACATACTGGTACTCTGATTACAGGTTTAAATAATGTAAACATGTACACAGGAGAATCTCCCACATGTACAAAAATGTGTGACATGCCGTGCATGTACTTAAGAATGTGTACTGCGTACTGGAAGGTTTTTTGTTCAATTACTTCGAAGTTATCTCCATCAGAGAAAAGTGCTTGTACTTTTTTATGCCTTTGAAAAGAAAATGTAAATCACTTAAGTGTTTGCAATACTGATGTAAAATATGATGTCCTTCCCTGTTTATAAATCTGATAGATCTAAAATACATATAACATGGTATGAATGCAACAAGAATATCTCAGATCATTATTTCATTGAATGTGAATTCATGACTTGTTTTTAGCACACTTGAGCCAAAGGCTCCCCTGTTAGGGTGGGATCACTGTGACACAATGGGCAACCAAATTTTTACACAAGAATATTTTGGAAAAATCTTCTTACAAACCATCATATTGATAGGGTCAAATCTTTATATAGTGTAGATTTAGATGGTTCATATGATGACTTCTAGGACTATGGAGGGGCCACAATGGGTGATCGAAGTTTAATATATCAATTATATGTGACACATGAGCCTCTTTTTTTAAATGAATTATAGAATGTATGGCATACAGTAGGTAATACTAGGTAAATATCAACAATGAAATGACTCATGTCAAGCCATTTTCCCCTCTCACAACATACAACCATTAATTATCATTGTCCTTCTTGTGTATTGGACAGGTTTCAATATTGATTTGATTGATGAGAAACGGCCTTTAGTGGTGTGGGTGGACACACAATATACAATATTATTAGGGGGTTGTTGTTATTGATTATATGGTTATACAAGAACTTTATAGATAATTGTGATCAATGTGTTTGACAACATTATGAAATTGATACATGTTTATATATGCAATCTGACATACAGCTTTTGTATTATTACCAACATTTTATATTTAAAAAAAGAGTATAACATTGTGATATGAGAAGTAACAAGTTTTATTTTCTCAGTAAATTATAAAATATCTTATAAATAACTTCCTGGAAAGCTCTTGCTGAATATTTTCTCCTGCCCTGGCTATGATATCAGAATCCTTGGATGTGATATTCTTGAATTTTATAATCAAGTTTTAACTTAAAGTTCATAATGTGTCTGTTTAGAAATCTTGTCAGTCTTGCTGTTTAATGGAATAACAGTTGTTCTTTTCACTTTGCAGGTAGAAGATAGATGACCAATGAAAACCAAGAATCAAACCATATATGATCCTGTCTGGCTTTTTCATAATACCTGAATAAGTGCTTTTTGTTACTCCCACAGATAAAGAGCCAATCAGCTGCCTTCATGCATGTTACCATGACTACATAAAACATCTACCAATCAGTCAAGAATATGCATTGAGAATTTCAAAACTCGTTCTCACCCTCCATGTTTTATCTACACTTTATGAGACAGTCAAGTCCATGTGTTTTTTTTTAAGTGTCATCATATATTTTACAATTTATAATTTCTTTAAAGCATTATTTCACTATAATGAGTTTTGAGGAAAAAAATGTTTTAGAAAATATTTTTAAAAGAATATAAAAGATCCTTAGAATGGTAGGTTTCATGAGATTGCAGTATAGTTAGTGCATACAGTATTTGTTATTCAACTCCTACTGGTATTATCACTTGTAAATAACCATGCAATAGCTCTGTTAACCTGAGGTACCGGTAAATGTATTTTGAGTTTTTGACGTGCAAGAGTCTAGTAACTCATCAACTTATGACTTGGAAAAATTCATGATTTTTTTTTACTAACAACTCATCAGTTTATTACTGGTTTTTAGAAAAATTCAAAAGATATTTTTTTATTAAATGAAACTGTAACATACATGTACTATCACTTAAGAAGTAGAGTTGGGACAACAACATGAAAGGATTTGTTTTCAATAATCATACTTGAATTCTTTCTAAATCTATACTTGTATAAAAATTAAGACAAAAAATGAAATCAAAAGTAATGACAGGAAAAAAAAACCCCTTATTTTTGATGAGTCAAAAATATGTTCAATCACATTTGTATGTCGTTCTGTGCATGGTTAAAGTGCAATTTGAAAAATTATTCCTTTTGTCAGTTTCATAACATATCCCAACACCTCAAAGCATGTCCACTCATAAGCATGTCCACTCATAGACGTTTCTCACTTTAACATGAAAACTTTAACAGTGTTTTTACTTTTATTAACAAAACTTGTCCAAAAATGAAAGTTTATAATTAAAGAAATGCACATCACCACACACCATCAAGAATGTATTACACATGAGAAATTGTAATCTTTAATTTTTTCTGGCCTGTTTGGAAGAAATTGCCAAAATATTTGTAAAGTAGAATAAATAGCATGAACTGGATTAAGTGCCATACATGGTCTTCTTCCTGTTAAAATAACAGAGAATTGTCAGCTTTCTGTATAAATGTGTACTAGCTGTGATCAGGTTTTTTTTTTCAATGATTATGAGAAATTGAGGAAGTTAAATTCCCTGGAAATTTCTATATGTATTAAGGAAAATAATCTAAATTAATGTTTTATGGATGTACTAGATATGTATTAATATATGAACAGAATGATATATGAAAGTTTAAACAGATTAATTTTTGTAGTTTGTGAATGAAAATAGAAGTCAATTATAACTGTACATGTAATTATGGTTAAAAGATGTAAAGATAGAAGACATGAAAGAGGAAGATATATATGTTTACATCTTTGGAGAAGCACTAGTGCCATATTAAGTGAATGAAAACATAGATTTACTTGTATAGTACTTTAATTACAACCAAATAATTGTAATACATTACATGTTTTCAACTTCCTATTTTGGAAAATAATTGGGAGACACATAGCTTGTGTTGGATATATCTATACATTGCAGGGGCGTAGCTTCCATTGTGGCAATGAGGCAATTGCCTCACTAGATTTTTGAGCAACATTCCCCTTCCCATAATCAATAATTCATCGCAGAAAATATTTAATTTATTTCTTAAAACCTAATTGTTTTATTTATCATTTAAATAAATCTATAAATTATTGTACTGGTTCTGGGTCAAACATTATGAGATCAGGCTCTATAGTTCTAAGACCTAAAAGCATTTTTGGGGAAAATATATATGGATCACAAAAACAAGGGCAGGCAAAGTTGACATCCTTTCTATGGAAAAGGAAAGATGAAAGTCTAGAATCGGCATCAAGTATTTCACAAACCCTGTAAACTAATTATTAATTTTATTATATTTTCAGATGATGCCCAAATTCAATCATATTTACATATTTCAAAAATAAATAAACAAATAAATAAAATATGTAATTTTTTTCCAAAAGCGAGTTAAAAGGTAGAATAAACATTTTTATACTCTATTAAATACTTTGAAATACAGTATGTACATATAGTATCATATGAATGCTGAAAGTCATAAAATAAGCCGGAAAAATCACAATATTTCTGCCCAGGACAAGTGTCATTTTAACATACTAAAACCAACTATTCAATTTCCGTTGGTGGCTTCGCCCCCTTGAACCTCCCACAAGACTCCGCCCTGGACCTACTGGGGGGCCTAAGGTGGCCCCAGACCGGCCCCCAGCCACAATTTAGCTTTGCCTCACTAGAACTTTAGTTCAAGCTACGCCCCTGCATTGATAGCAGTTTTTGAAATTAATTTTTTTTGCAAAGTTTTGGCATTTGAAATGAAAATAATACATGTATGTTACTAAGGAGAAAGTAAATGTTAGGCTATGCTAGGTCTAACTAAGATTATAGGTTTATACAAAAGTAATTCCCAAAGAAAAATCTGTCTTTGCTTCCAATGATAGAATTGTCTTAAGCTGTCAACAAGTAATATTAAAAAATGCATATACATTGTACTGTTACATAGTAAAGACTTATCTAAAAATTGGCCTGTCAGCTGACTTTTAATGAGGTTTCATGATGGAGTTTACAAATACTGTAGTAATTAAAAGGTTTTCTTCCCCTTCTTTAAAGCTATCGAATAATGTCTTTGTGCATCAGACTTTAATTTATGAATGAATGTTTCAGTCATGTTTTACAAATACCATGGTTTCAAATGCATTACAGCTTGTTTTTGAACAATCCAGCGTCTTAGATGAAAAAGTGTATAGTTTTTAAAATTGAATAAAAAAAAAAACAGATTAGATTTATCCCCCTTTGAATGTAAAAATAATTCCAAGTTCAGAAGAAGACTTTACCTATAGTGTTCTAAAAAGGAAAAACATTTTTTTTTCTTTCCTTTTTTAGAATTTCAGTATATGTAAAACTATGCTACACCAGATGTGATAGTGTATATTCTTAAGAGTGGTACATGTATTAGTGAAAGCTCTTTGTCAAATACAGAGAAGAGGAAACGAGGAAGTCATATAGTAAAGAAGTGTTTGTTATGAAGCTGTTTACTTCAATATTATAATTTATGTTGCTCTATTTAGACTGTGATGTAGAAAAAAAAAAAAACATGTTAATGGCAAGAGAAGCTAAACAAGATGGATATTTAAATGTTATAAACATTGTATGCTTAATTGCAGTAAGTGCAGAATAAAATTAATGTGAATTTTAAAAAAGACCTGAATTTGTATATAAGTGATATTATTTTGCATGTATACACAAGACATCAGGAATGTATAAGAATGTTGGACTATTGTTAATGATATTCATGTTATCATTTACATCAAATGTAAGATTGTTCTACATGTAAGTTACATTTTAACAGGTACATGGACAAAGTAACACACTCATCAAACTTTCCTTTTCTTCCAATTTCCTTTAAGATGATCTAAAGATATTTTTTTTAAAAAAGAGAGATATGATGATTATACAATGTATACTGATAAATTAATTGATTAAATATTTTTAAACATGAGAAAAGTAACAGTTTGTAAGCAGACTCTAGTTAAGCAGGCATGTTGCACACTTGTAGCTTAATTTTAGTAAATGCTCAATGTATCACATAGATGTAGCTTGCTTGGCATTGTATTTATAGACACCTTTCAGCATTAATAAAAGGTCAAAACATAAATCTTGGGGTATCCCTTCTTTGCAAATTAATTGTTCCTAGATGGTCACATGATCTTTTTTATTGTTATATGATTTTTATTAATAGGCAAATTTGATAAAATCTACTGAATTTCATGTATTGTGTTTTGCTGTACTAGTTTAAATATTTACATTCTCATTTTTTGAAAAAAAAAACAAAATTCAGGTTACTTTATGTTCAGTTTTTAAAGAGGCCAATTTTTCTTCCCTCCTTTACCCCACTTGTAATTTCTTTGGCAATGATTGCATTTTTGTCATTGTTCTTGAACATGTTTAACAAAAGAAAACCTTTATATTAAAATGTATACTCTGTGAATTCTTTGTATTTTTTCTCAAAAAGGATCACACATTTCTAAAAGATTTTAGTCTAACTTAATTCAACTGTGTTCAGCTTTGTTTAAGAAACCAGATATAAACATATTTAATTTGTCCAGAAACAAAAATCATTGACTGAATTTATAGCTGATGCGTCTGAATGGAGTGTAATTTTATTGTGAACAAGATGTGTTTGTGAAACACTGATGCCCCTGTATGGCAACATAGCAAAGATTTAACTTCTCTTTAATGCAAATTAAATATATTGGTACCAAAAGTAGGGTAGTCTCACTGGAAATACAATTGTGAAATATGAAAGTTGGCCTAGATTAAAGTTTTTTTCATAAGTACATAAATCTCCAAGGTCAAAAGATCAAGGTGATTGGTATCCAATGTCTTGCAACAAAAAAATAGATATATGAAGTATGAAAACCCTAGCCCTAATCCTTCAAAAGTTATGGTCAAGGTTAGAAATTTAAAAAGTAGGTCAAACTCCAAAGTCAAGGTTAAAGGTGTTACTATGAAAGGAAAGGTCTTGTTACAAGGATTAAATAAGGAAAGTTATGGTCAAGGTTTGCTTTTTAAAATTAGGTCAAATTCAAAGGTCAAGGTACATGTAAAAGGGTCAATATTCTTGGTATCTAATGAAGGGTCTTCTCACAAGTTTTATATATGTGAAGTATGAGATCACTAGCCCTTAGCGTTCAAAAGTTACGGCCAAGGTTAAAGTTTTTCCATAGGTACAAAAATCTCCATGGTCAAGATAGTTGGTATCAAATGAGAGGTCTTGCCACAAAGAATACATATGTTAAGTATGGGAGCACTAGCTTCAATCCTTTAAAAGTTATAGCCAAAGTTAAAAATTTTTAAAAGTAGGTCAAACTCCAAGGTGAACGTCAAAGGGTCAAAGGTCCTGCTGTCAAATGAAAGGTTTTGTCACAAGGATTAAATATGTATAGTATGAAAGCACTAGCCCCAACTCTTTAAAAGTTATGGTCAAGGTTTGCTTTTAAAAGTAGGTCAACCTCCAAGGTCAAAGGGTCAAAGTTCTTTGAATCCAATGAAGGGTCTTCTCACAACGACTACATATGTGAAAAATGAAAGACCTATCCCTTAGCGTTCTAAAGTTGTAGCCAAGGTTAGTGTTTTCATAAGTACGGAAATCTCCAAGGTCAAGATCAAAAGGTTAAGATTGTTGGTATCCAATGATAGGTCATCCACAAAGAATACATATGTGAAATATAAATGTCCTGTCTACTGTTAAAAAATATGGCCAATGTAAAAGTTCGGAATTTTTGTGTAAAGGTGGGTCAAACTCCAAGGTCAAAGGTCAAATGTCAAATTTGTTGGTACCCAAAATAAGGTCTTTTCACAAGTAATACACATGTGAAATATGAAAGTCATAGCTACACTAAATCAAAAGTTATGGGCAAGGTTAAAGTTTTAGAGGACAAATAGACAGACGGACGAACACGACAAAAACTATATACCCCCGAAACTTCTGTTACGGGGGCATAAAAATCGGAACGTCATGGAGCACCGCACTACTAAAAATTATGTGTGCAGACAGAACAAGATGTGTTTGTGAAACACTGATGCCCACGTATGGCAACATAGCGATGATTAAACTTTTCTGAAATGCAAAATCACTGGAAACAAACCAATTCTTAAATATGAAAGTAGGCCAAGGTTAAAGTTTTTTCATAAGTACGGAAATCTCCAAGGTCAATGAAAGGTTATGGCCAAGATTAAAAATTTTATAAAAAGTGGGTCAAATTCAAAGGTCAAAGGGTCAAAGTTCCTGATATCAAATGAAAGTCTTGTCACAAGGATTAAATATGTAAAGTATGAAAGTACTAGCCCCTTACAAGTTATGCGGGGTCAAATGAAAAAAAAACTTTAAACTTGGCCATAACTTTTGAATGGTAAGGGATAGGACTCTCAAATTTCACATATGTAATCCTTATGAGAAGATCCTTCATTGAATAAGAACTTTGACCCTGACCTTGGAGTTTGACCTACTTTTAAAAAGCATACCTTGAATATAATTTTTAAAGGGTTAAGGCTAGTGCTTTCATACTTTATTATTTATTTAATCCTTGCGACAAGACCTTTCATTTGATATCAAGAACTTTGACCTCTTGACCTTGACCTAGAAATTTGACCTACTTTTCAAAATTTTAACCGTTGCTATAACTTTTGAGGGAATAGGGCTAGGGTTTCCATACTTCACATATGTATTTCTTGTGGGAAGACTATTTATTGGATACAAAGAACTTTAACCCTTTGACATTGACCTTGGAGTATGACTTACTTTAAAAAACAAACCTTGACCATAACGTTTTAAGGGATAGAGCTAGGGCTTTCATACTTTTCATATTTAATCATTGTGATAAGACCTCTCATTGGATATCAAGAATTTTGACATTGGAGTTTGACCCATTTTTAAAATGGCCTTGGTCATAACTTTTGAAGGATTAGGGCTAGGGCTTCCATATTTCACAATCGTTCACGGTAGCTCAGTCGGTAGAGCGCTTGCTCCGTGATCGGGAGGTCGTGAGTCCGTATCTCGGCCGCGACTGACCTAGTCGTTAAAATGGGTAGCAACTGTTCCTTCGTCATGCGCTCGGCACTTTGAAGTGGAAGTTGCGGGTCCTTCGGATGAGACCTTAAAAACCGAGGCCCCGTGTCAGCGGCAGGCGTTGGCACGATAAAGATCCCTCACTGCTCAATGGCCCTGAGTGCCGAATAAAGGTCAAAATTTGAAGCTCTTCACCGGCATACGGTGACGTCCCTATATGAGTGAAAAATTCTCGAGAGGGACGTTAAACTATATACAATCAAACAATCAATCCATACTTCACATATGTATTCATTGTGTCAAGACCTTTCATTGTGTAACGGGGGAGTAGAAAATGCAGCAGACCAGACCGCGATTCGAACCCGGGCCCCTGAAACTCCGATCAGGTGCTCTACCAACTGAGCTATCTAGCCACCGACGATCGAACCCGGCTGACCGCCACATTCCTCCCTCCTTAAAGGTCTTTGGCCCTCCAAAGACCCCAACCCAGGCTAGCTCATCCCTGGCAGGTCTTTCACCTGTCAATTCCAGGGCATTGCATGGAACCAAATGTAACGGGAGAGGAGAAAATGCAGCGGACCAGACCGGGATTTGAACCCGGGCCCCCTGAAACTCCGGTCAGGTGCTCTACCAACTGAGCTATCTGGCCACCGGCGATCGAACCCGGCTGACCGCCACATTTGGATACCAATTACCTTGACCTTGGAGATTTCCATACTTATTTAACCTTTGCCTACTTTCGTATTTCACAATTGTATTTCCTACGAGAATACCCTACCCTGGGTACCAATACATGTATATTAAATTTGCATGTAAGAAAAGTTTTATCTTTGTTATGTTGCCATACGGAGGCATCAGTGTTTCACAAACACATCCTGTTTTATTTGAAAAAGTCTGATATGATAAAAAGTGTTTCTATAGAAGTTGTCCCATTTTGTTACTTTATTAATGATACGCTGTTGCTCGATCTATAGCCTGATAGCTAGCATTGATTTGATTGACTCAGTTACAATTGACCCAGAGTAAGCACGGAGTTAAATTACCGGTTCACACCTATATCGAATTTTATTCCTCTATATTTGAACCGTGTTCACTCTAATGAAAATTTTGAAGTATGTCAACATTGGCATGGGGAGTAACGCTTATCATTTAATAATTAATTTTTGATCAAAATCGTTTGAGGTTTCCTTAAAAAAAAATACAGAACCTGTCTTGTCCCGTGAGGGTTTTCAAAATTTGAATTGCAACGAGAAAATTAAATTAAATGATAAAGTTGTTCATATTTCATATTTAATAGCAAAAACATCTAAAATGTTTGCATCAATCATTTGTGTTTTTCATGAAACTATCAGAACACAGAGTTTTTGCATATATATTAAGTTTCTATACAGCATTTTGCTATCTGATATATTACCACACGTCTGTCTTGAAAATATTTAATTCAAGCAATCGGAAAAAAACATCCAGACCACTTAAATTGATTAAATAAAACTTGTTCTATTCACTCCTATGTTTATAAATTTTACTTTTTTTTCAGCAATAGACATTTTAGAAAAAAAGCAAGTAGCGAAGGAATGCATAGGTTTTCAACTTTTTACTCATCGATCACACTTGAAAAATGAAGATTTTGCCACTTTGTGTACCAATCCATAGTCTGTTCTTATCGTCACATGCAAGCGACCAACAATCATCAATGTCAACAATCTTTTTGTCGAAGCGACCATTAGCAGTTAGTCTCCAAACAGAGTTCGAAGCATTATTTACGACATAAATCTGCCCCTTGGAATCACAGCAAATGCCACGTGGTATAAATTCCGACTCGTCCATGCACTCCGGGGCATTGCCATCAAAAGAGTTTAACTGGTTCCCTTCACTGTCTGTCAGCACCACCTGAAGTGCTATCCAGTCCGATATCACTAACCAGCTCTCTTCTGTGTTAGCGGCAATTCTAGCTGGATACTGTATTGTGTTTCTACCCATTACTTTCTTCTCTGTCTTCATGTTTTGCATCTTCACCATCGATGCTGATGGGTTTTCACTGCAGTTATAAAACACGTCCTTTTCCGTTAAACCTACAGTGAGTGTATTGCAATTCTTGTCAAAAGTCATACCGCGGGCACAACATTTTGTACGGAGAAAGGGTTGTGGCTCGGAGTCACCCTCTTTCTTTACAACCATTTTTCTTGCGTTGCAAGAGAGATAAAGAGTTCCTTTTCCATCATAAGTGATATCATCTAGTTTATAATCAGTGACAAAAGAGTCGTGACACTTGCCTTTTATATCGTATAATTTTACCACTCCTTCATTTCCCATACATATCCATGCTTTGTCTTCTTCCACACAAGAAATCCCAGTTATAACGGTATCCTCCATTTCACAGTCGAACCATTTTACAAGTCTTATCTCTTTAACCCCTTCCTTCTTCTCTGGAATCGAAATGAACCCAAACAGGTCTCTCACTTTCTCCTTCATTAAAAACCCCTTTATAAAGTCAATATTTGTATTGTCCTTTGCAGGTGGTTCAGCAGTAGAATTTTTAACTTTTTCCAACCTTTCAGTCAGTTTTGTGCCGTGAATGATGATATCAATATCGTTTCCTTGTTCTAAAAGCATAGTGGAAAATTCATAGAGCCCTAAATACTGCAATTTGATCTTTTCTACATTCTTCATAGGACTGTTGTCCGGGGAGTATTCCAATACCTTACTGGAACATTCTTCTTGAATATCGTCGACTAGCTTGTGAAAAAGTTTTGCTTGTTCCCTTATTGCATCGAGTAGCTTCTCTTCAGTATCTAGCATCTTATTCTTTTCTTTCTTTGCTTTTGCTCTTTCGTTTGATAGCTTTTCAATAAAATTACTGTGTTCCGAATGTTTAATGGCATTTTCAAGGGAATTTCGAAACTCTGTGACTGCCTCGGATACATCTTTACACTCGTGACTCTTATGCATTGTCATGTTGCAGTCCATGCAGATTGGTAGTTTACAGGTTACACAAAAATATTTCAACTCCTGCGTAGTGTGATATTCACACAACGCAGCACTTTGTGATATCATTCTGTCTCCCTTTTCACTAATGGTCACGATTCTGTGACTCTTAGTACCTTGTAATTTGGAGTGTACCCGAAGACAAAATGAGCAGTAATTCTGATCACATACAAAACAGTAAAATTCAGCCCTCGTTTTTTCTCCGCAAACAGCACACTTTAAAATCGCATTTCCATCCTTGTTGAAAAAGTAGATATTTTTAGGAAAGCCCTCCTCTTTATTCTGAGGGATTTTACTTACAGCTCCACAAATGGTACACTCGAAACTCGAAAGTGTCCCTTTAGCTTCAATCTGGTATTTCAAACATTCGTTGCAGAAGGAATGGTAACAATCCAATAATCGTGGATCCTTAAAATTTTCGTAACAAAGGGAGCATTTAAGAGTGTTTGGGTCCTTTGCCTTTCGACTTACATTTTCTCGGGTGTCATCTTTTCCTCTGGTATTACCACTTCCCCTCCCTGTTTTGTTGTCTATTAATCCTTTACTTTCCTTAATGTAATTTTTCCCTCTGCTTTCACCACTGCTCTTTCCTGCTCTGCTGTCTTTTTCCCCTTCGTTTTCCCAATAGCCATTTTCCGCTTTGCCTTCACCGCTATCCTTTCCCGTTCTGCTGTTCATTCCCCCATCAATTTCCCCTCTGCTATCTTTTTCTTGTCTGTTGTCTCTACCTTGTTCCTTTCCCCCATTTTGGTTTCTTTCTGATATTGCATCGTCTGTTCCTCTTTTATTTTCACCGTTGTCCTCCGTATTTTCCGTTCTAACACTAGAGCTGGCCATCATACCATGGATGTATCACCGCTCAAGCTTTCTAGTATTATAACACATTAATTTGGAGATCCATTGATTGATTTTTTTAGATGCAAAATAGAGCATTGAAAATCCGCACCTTCTTGCCTGAAACATGTAGATAATTTACACAGCGTTGAACTTGCAAAGTCCTATTGGTATTATATCGAGGAAAAGCTTGGAATTGAACAGTTTCTCTCGTAAGCAGTAAACTGCTAATGTAAACACTGCACCTGACAACAAAATCAAACTCATTACCTTGTGGCACTTTTGCTATGCATTCTTTATAACGTCAGATAGTTTTTCATTTGCCATGAATTAATAATCAGTCTTCTCTCTTAGATGTTGCAAATCATTCTGTGATCCGTTAAATCCCCAAATGACAACATCGATGCGTGATATCTCTGTTTATCCCTCGTGAATAGTATTTCATTTTCTTACCCTTCCTTTTTATTACCAAACTCATTATCAAACAAATTAAAAGTTAAGCTCACTTATTTTATTGCGCCTTTCTACGTGTTCTAGGTGTTCTAGTCACCAAGTACTGCCTCCAGTCGACTGTGTAATAAGGAGTTATGTATCGACGACCATATGCATTTCATATTCCAAACTGTATCCATTTCATGGCCTATCTATTACTTGTCATCAAATATGTATCTTTTGAAAGATTAGAGAGTATTTTTTCAATCAATAAAAAATTCAATATTTTTTCTCACCGTGCATTTTCAATGTTATTTTACATGTATAATGCATAATATATTTTTCATTTTTTCGAGACCTGGAAGAAAAATTGTGAATGCAGCCGAGAGAAATGGGAGAGCGTATTCAAATACATGTACATATACGATGGTTTATATGTCTGTTATACTCTTCCAGTATTTTAAAGCATCATTTACACAACAAAGATAAAAGTTTTAACCAAAAAACATTGATATAAAATTATTTCGAATTATTCATTTATTCATAACTTTAAACAATTTAAATTAACACAAAAATGAATTGTCATTACGAATGTTAAGAATAAAATGAGTAACGTTGTGCTTGTAAATCAATATGTTAGACACACTTAAGAGTGGCAATTCGTTGTGAACAAATACACCATAAACAACAAAATTTGAAAGGACCCAATTTCATAAAAAAGAAATCTTACCATTCCATCTACACGTTTGTTTTAAAAGCACAATTAAATTTCTACCAAGATGTAAAATCTAATCTGTTATCATATTGGAGCAAAGACTGCTGTTATAATTTGCACTCGATATTTATGCCCATGCATGAGAGATGATAAATGCTATTATAATTTGCACCAACATTTTAAACAGAAACATGAAACTTGAATGCTTAAATAACTAAAATAAAGAAGATTATTTGATAATCAGTAATTAAGCCCGAATGCATATTTTTAATTATGAATAGAGCAAAACAGATATAGGATTTGGCATGATATATAGTTTAAAAGTAAAAATCTTTAATGGAATTTATTGTGAAAAAGAATTGAAATGAAAAGTTCACTTAATTAAATCACATAATTTCTGAAATTTTGACTTTGAACGAGACTACAGAAGTAGATTGCTTAGTTTATAGAAACCATTCGTAGGTAAAGTAGAACAAGTTTTTGATTTTCAAATGAACTGGGGGATAATCTTTTATGCAGCTGATAATGGATATTCTACATAGAAAAGGAAAGTTATCGGGAAAAAATCTGAAGTAAACACATTTATTATAGTTTTAATTTATTATTTTGTCATTTATGTCTTTCTCTAGTAAAATATCCAAATAGAAAAAGATGTGGCAGACTCTGTGGTGTCTTATTCAAGAGATTGAATGTATGTTGTCCATTTTGAGGATTTTACGCTGAGGACGTTACCATATACCGGTAAGCGCTTAACATTTAGACCTTTACTTGGCACTCAAGAGGGATCTTTATCGTGTCAACGCCTGCCTTGGCGCAATTTTGTTGCAAATTTGCTCTTTTTTAGGATTATTTTGTTTTTAGGATTCCACACATAGTATAGTGATATCCAACAATATTCAATCTCAAAATCCATTTTAACAATATAAATATACTGAAAGGAAAAAGAAACGCAGAGTAGCATAATACTGGAAATTTTTTGACCGCATGTCCGAAAATTTAGTTACCATGCACCAAAATCAGTGTTCAGAATTACTCAACCATAAAATGTATGACGTCACGTTGGGAAAACGCTAAAAAGCCCAAAACACGTGCAATTTGATGACGATGAGTTTGTCAACAAATCTTAATGCATCACTTGATGCACCTGAGGTATACACATTGTTTTTCAATATTTAGAGACGGTTTACGGAAGTTCCATGGGGTCTGGTTTTCGAATTGCCTATTTAATGAAAAAGGCATCAACGGGTAATTAAGCAGTTTCTTGTAAATTTTCCCCCATTAAACACCCACCGCGTGCTCCTTGTCATGATCGGGAAATAACGGAAAAATCCTTCGTCAATTCAGTGTATAAATAATGGACTAACAATTAGTATGAAAAACGTTTGACTTAATGATAAATTGTATTTGCTGACAAGGTCATTGTATCGACCATAGAACTTAAGAAATGATGACTTTAAACGAGACTGCTGATATTCTTGTTTCATCAACTTGCTTGTCAATAATTTACCTCGTTTTAGAAATTCATACGTAGAGCATCTCTTCCGTATCGAATCAACCGAGATATATACACTCCGTATGCAGGTGATGAAGGTATATTGCTGCATAAGTAAGGGAAGCTGACGATAGAAAAGTTAAAGTCATCACGTTTATCATATAGTTTGGTTGTTAGATTACCATTAACATCTTTTTCAAGTAAAATATCCAAGTATGAAAAAGATGTATCAGACTCTGTGGTATCTTTTATCTCAGGCTCTCCAAGATATATCGTATCGACGTAGGAATGGAAATTACTATTGTTAATTGACAATACGTCGTCGATATATCTAAATATCGAGTTGAGGGCCACAGCAAGTGTTTTCTTTTCACGCATAAGATTTTGCACAAATTCTGCTTCATATGAATACAAAAATAGGTCTGCTAATAACGGATCGCAATTTGTACCCATGGAAATTACAATAGATTGTTGGAAGACCTGGTCTCCAAAAACCACATAGATACTGTCAATCAGAAACTCAAGCATCCCTTTGATGTCAACTTCAGAGTACTTGTATGTGCAATCAAAATGTGTTTTAACAAAATAATTTTGCAAATGACCAATGACCAGGTAAGTAGATTTACGAGTTCCATTTTTATTGAAACATAGGGAGATAACGAACAGTATTCAAGATCAAAATCCATAAAACAATACAAAACAGAAGCAGAGCAAACATGGACCTCCAAAACATCAGAGGTGGGATCAGGTTCCGCTGAGGAGTAAGCATCCCTTGCCTACTGGTCACATCCGCCGTGTGCTCCTTGTCATGATCGGGAAAGAACGGGAAAATCTGTCGTCAATAAATGATAGACTAAAAATTAGTATGAAAAACGTCAGTCAAGATTTGACTCTATGATAAATTGTATAATTGGCTGACAAGGTCAATGTATCGACCATTGAACTTACGAAATGATGACTATAAATGAGACTGCTAATATTCTGGATTCATCAACTTGCTTGTCAATAATGTACCTCGTTTATGAAAAATTGTGCTCACGTAGAGCATGCTCTTCGAATCGTATCGAATCAACTTAGATATATACACTCCGTATGTAGGTGAGGAAGGTAACTTGCTTCATAAGTAAGGGAAGTTTAAAACGATTTAAAAGTTAAAAGTCATCACTTTTATCATAGAGCTTGGTTGTTAGATTTCCATTCACGTCTTTTACAAGTAAAATATCCAATTATGAAACAGATGTATCATATTCTGTTGTTTCTTTTATCTCAAGCTCACAAGGATATATGGTATCGACGTAATAGTGGAAATTACCATTGTTAATTGACAATACGTCGTCGATATATCTAAATGTCGAGTTGAGGGCAACAGCAAGTGTTTTCTTCCTTTCACGCATAAGAGTTTGGACAAATTCTGCTTCATATGAATAAAAAATAGGTCTGCTAATAATGGGTCGCAATTGGTTCCCATGGGAACTCCAACAGATTGTTGCAAGACCTCAAAAATAAGAAATTAAAAAAACGACACTATTAAAATACATTTATTTTGTTATGCACAAAATACTAACAGTTAACAAATTACATTTTAAGTTGTTTTAAAAAGTAAAATATTACTCACAGAAGGCAAAGATGTATGAATATTCATAAATGAACGTAATGAAATACATGTATAATAAAATAATCACACAGTATCTAAATCTGCACCTTTGTTAACAAATTCAGAATCTCTAACTGATCTGTAAATTCCAGGAGTGTGTGCAGCACCAGTAGCAATTTCGACATTAGTTTTGTAAAAATGGCGTTCTTCCTCTTTTTTCAGAGGAAGTGACGTTACACCCGTGTAAAGTGGAAGAAAAAATAATGTGGTAAACATGACCAACAATAATAAGGCTTGTTCCACAAATAGTGCAATAATTATACTACAAACAACAGCAAAAACTGAATATCCCCAAAGATGTTTGAGACTGGATATAAAGCAATTGGACGCTCTGAATTCGTCTTCTACCGCCCTCTGAGGAATCCATTTAACATTAGCACCAAGATTCGCTTGTACAGCTTTCACAAATCGGACACAACCCACTATTGCCTCTGGTGTGAATTGTAAAATAGATGCGATAGTTTCAATAATGACATATTTATAGTTCTTCTTATTACACGTTGCAAATTTTGGAAATACCAGAACCAGAAACATGACTATTATGATTGAAGCGTATCTGTATCGAAGATGTACACTAATGTGAATAAGAACATAAAATAGTAAGAATGGTTTCATCATCATCTGTCTAAGGGCGGCATAGGCAATAAAACTGCTCACAAAATCGAGATGAGATTCTGTACGAAGTTTTGTAGGGTTAAACTTATCTCCTT